AGTACCATGCATAGCTTGGGACTGAATTTGAAATATTTGAGCTGTTCTTCGATAGGGAACATTCCTCCAAAATTTCAGCTTCCTAGCTTTCCTCGTTCCCGAGTTGTCAATTTTCCCTCTAAAACTTGCATGAGTACCACGCACACCTGGGGGCTGAATTTGAAATCTTCAGCTAGTTCATGCACAGGGAATATTCCTACAAGATTTCAGCCCCTTAGCTTGTGTGGCTTCCGAGATCGCTTTCCCACCAAAAAATTTGCATATTTTTTTAAAGCGTCCGTACGCGCCACCTAGGCGCCCGCAGAGGATGAAATTAAAACGGGAGGGTCGCGCATGGTATGGGCATATAACCCCAAAGTTTCAGCTTTCTAACTTTTCTGGGTCTCGAGTTGAAGGTGGGTGACAAAAAGTGCGAACACACAGACACACAGACACACACGCACACACACAGACAGCCTCTTCCCAATATGCGTTTCTGCAATTTACATATATGCAAAAACGCATAACAACCATCCAGGCAGTCAATGACCTGAGTACTTCAAGTTCGGTGCAAAAACGCATGATCGCACTGGCCCGCCCGGTGCGTTCCAGCCTGTATCTATAATTTTGAAAAGTGCAGAGGGCTTTGTTGCTTCTAGCCCAATGATTTCTAGATGTCTACGCTTTCTAAGCCAACTCATCAGAAAAATATTACAGTCCATACCAAATTTGGTGCAGGTCATGATTGTTTACCCCATTCGTGGCACGGTTATAAGCTTATAATTAAATTCCTATCTGAGATCACAAGCTTATCATACCTGTGGATAATGGAATACAAGATCGGCAACGCGATCCTCACCGGGCACCGTATTAATCCACAGCTTTTTCATAAATAAAACTTGGTATGGCAAAGTGAATATTGTCGGATTTTTTGGGCGCATCCATTCAAGGAGCTGGCGTAGGAAATCGAAGAAAAATTCGGTGTCTGGTACTGAGATCACTGAACAAACGAGCTAATTCAAAATTGATACGTAACGAATTATTAGTGAAGTAACATGCTGTACTGATTATATCTGAAGCTTGGACTAGCCTATGCTTCGCATTCAACGATTGCAAAAGAGGGAATGTCGCATAAATTTGAAGCATTTTAAAGGACGGAGCAGATGGTGTTACACTTAGCAAAACAGGGTTTTTTTTCTCTTAATCTCTTTGGATATTTTAATCTAAATTTGGTGCCTAAGCCACATTACAAATGTGCCTGGGATCTCAAAATGCTGAAAGATTAATTGCTCACGGTTATGGAACAATTATTTCTAAATGCAATCGTAATCACCTTTGCTGCCAAGCTTGACAAACAGAGAGAAACCGTCTATAGATAGCAATCCCAGTCGTGCTGCAACTCGATGACAAAAATCTCTGGCTTTAGTGGTAGAGTCTACTTCGATAATTTCGTCCGTGCTGTCCGGGAAAAATGCTTTGTGGAAAATCTGTACAGTTCGTTGTCGCACTGCTTCTACTTCCACTTCATGCGGAGGAAATTTCCGACATCCAGTACTGCAACAAAATCATCATATTCTATGCCTTCGCTTGTAATGCGTTTTTATGCGTTTTTGCATTTATGTAAATTGCAAAAACGCATATTGGGAAAAGGCTGTCTGTGTGTGTGTGTGTGTGTGTGTGTGTGTGTGCGTGTGGGTCTGTGTGCCTGTGTGTTCGCACTTTTTATCACCCACTTTCAACTCGAGACCCAGAAAAGTCAGAAGGCTGAAACTTTGGGAGTATGTGCCTATACCATGCGCGACCCTCCCGTTTTAATTTCATCCCCTTTGGACACCTGGGTACCGAGTACGGGAGTTTTAAAAAAATATGCAAATTTTTTGGCGGGAAAGCGATCTTTGGAACCACACGAGCTAAGGGGCTGAAACTTTGTAGGGATATTCCCTGTAGCTAAAGATTTCAAATT